CCTGCTGGGCTCCGGCAATCCTTCCGCCTCAGCCTTCCGAGTAGCCAGAATTATAGGCGCGCGCTACCACGCCTGGCTGATTTTTTGATTTATTGTAGGCCCAGGCGGGTCTCGAACCCGCAGGCTCAGGCAATCCACTCACCTCAGCCTCCCAAAGGTGCGGAATTACAGGTTGAGCCACCAAGCCCGGCAAACCAGCCTATTTTAAAGCCACTTTATATTAATGGAGATGTTTTAAAATAGACGATCCACTATTTTCTTTCTATTTTAGAGAGAAATACATGCATTTCTGAGGCTGGGGAATACCTATACAACAGCCATTACCATATATGAAATAACTATCGCCTAATTAAACTGTGAAACACTGACTAAAAGCACAGTTGAAAGATTCAAGTATAAAATATCACTTTTCTTGGCCTTTGGGTTACAATTCAATTATTTTATCACTACATTAGACATTATTCTTTTCCCTAGCATGTACTTTGTAGCACAAATGATCTAACCACACAGCAAATGTTTAAATGATATCCCACATCTTTTATTTCATTGAACAAAAGAGATTATATATGTGAAAGTGCTGTGCTGCTGGTCAATTAGAGACACTGGTAATTATTCTTACATATAGTTGGATATAAGAGCTCAGTAGTGCTCTGTGCAGTTCACTCCACCTTTGATATGATGTGACTATTTTAAAAATTACTTAAAGCAGAGAATAGAGCACGGGTCAGCTAGAAATAGAGTTTATGCTCATAATGAAATAAACCCCGCATAATGATTTAACCAAAACTAAAACCACAGTTGAGAGGATGAGGAAAGAGAAGGGGTGGGAAAAGAGAACTAAATCAAAGTGGAAGGTCAATGCCAAAGCACAAATTGAGCAGTTGAAAGTAACTGTCTCTAAGGAAGAAGAAATGGGGGTGGAGACTGAGGGGAAGACAACAAGGGAACTTTAGAGCCCTCTGACTCTTTAAAGAGTGTACCTTTTTATTCGAAATCAAAGAAAAGTTATTACTTGAATATAGTCAATTCCTCCTTAGCATCTGTTACATTAATCCAATCTACCCTGCTGGGTCATGGGAAAGTGAGCATTTCACATGTGTGGAAGATAAAATGCATTTGTCCAGAGACATGGTGTCCTCATAAAAAGATCTTTAAACTAAAGAGAAAAAATTGTGGATGGGGAAAGGAAATATCAGGGAGAACAGAGTAAAAAAGATATAAAACAAAACAAAAAAGTACTGGTGACTTCCCCAGTAATTAGAAAAGGAAATAAAAAACAATATGTTAATACTTCAAAAATCAGAATATCAGAAGAAAAGTGATGAGTACCTTAGGGGAAATGTGGCCTTGTTACATCAGTGTAGTTCCAGTTCTCCTCTCATAAATAAAGTAAGAGTACACTTAAGCTCCCTCGACCCCTACCTCTGGTGAAGTCAGTTATGGACACCATGAGACTTGCTGTGACCAATAAAATCTGAGTAAAAGTGGCATATGTCTCATTCAGGAAACAGTTTTATTTGCTTATTTATTTATTTTTTAAACATAGATTTTATTATAAAATTGTGGGGTACAGTTAAGGGTTAGGTATACAAGTGTGCATCGTTCAGGCACCCTTATTAATAAGGGGTGTCTCCCTGCAGGAAACAGTTTTAACAACTAATGTGTGAGATGCCAAGCTTTATTGTCTTTTGTCACAGTCAACAGAAATGTGCAAACAGTGGCTATTCTGTTAGCATGAGCACAACATAGAAAACCTCCAGCTATTGTATAAGGAGCATGTGACAAAAGGAAGAAATAAACCATGTTGTTTTAAGCCACTGCGATTTGAGAGGTTAATACTGCAGCATGAACTGGTCTATCTTCACCAGTATACAAATGAGCAATAAGGTGCTATCTTAACAGCAACAACAAAGCCCAAAATAATGATTTATGGGCCAAACAGCACAGAAACTGTTCTGGGTCTATTCAGAAAAACATTTATTGAGACAAGCTCAGCAAATGACCCGCATTAAGAAGTGACAAAACACTTGATAAAACTGTCACAACAATAATGTGGAGGTGCCTGATATTAGCACAAGAACAGGCAGACAGACCAATGGAACAGGATAGAGACTCTGGAAGCAAACCTCAATTTCTCAACCAACTTGTCTCTGACAAAGCCTCCACCAACAACCAATGGGGAAAGGAGAACATATTCAGTAAATGGTGCTAGGAAAACTGATTGACCACATGCAGAAGACTGAAACAGGACTCCTACCTATCACGATATACACAAGTCAGCTCTAAATGGATCAAGAGACCTAAATATAAAACCTCAAACTATAAGAATCCTAGAAGAAAACATAGAAAACATCCTTACGGAAATTGGGATAGGCAACCAATTCCTGATCAACTCTCCAAAAGCAAATACCATAAAAGATAAGATAGACAAGTGGACCCTCAACAAACTGAAAAGCTTCTGCAAAATAAAAGAAACCATCAAGAGGTCAGAGAGACAGTTCACAAAACAAGAAAAAATATTTGCCAACTGTGTAACTGACAAAGGCCTAACATCCAGATCTCAGGGAACTCAACCATGCCAAAAGAAAAAAAACAGACAGCCCTATTACAAAGTGGGCAAAAAATATGAATAAACTTTTCTCAAAAGAAGACATAAGCAGCCAACAGATCATGAAAAATGCTCAGTCTCACTAATCATCAAAGAAATGCAAATGAAAACCACACTGAGATGCCACCTAACTCCAGTCAAGATGGCCATCATCAATAACTCAAAAAACAACAGATGCTTAAGAGGATTTGGGGAAATGGGAACACTTCTACACTGTTGTTAGAAATGTAAGCTAGTACAACCTCTGTGGAAAACAGCATGGCAATTTCTAAAAGATCTAAAAATCAACCTTTCATACAAACCAGCAATCCCCCTTCTGGGAATATACCCAGAGGACCTCAAATGACTCTATGAAAAAGATACCTGCACACACATGCTTATTGCAGCATTATTCACAATAGCAAACACATGGAACCAACCGTGCTGCCCATCGAAAGTGAACTACATAAAGAAAATGTACATTTACATGATGGAATATGCAGCCATATAGAAAAGCAAAATTATGAACTTTGCAGCAGCCTGGATGGAATTAGAGTCTATAATACTCAGTGACTTATCACAGAAACAAAGATTTGAGTACCACATGTACTTACTCATAAGTGGACTCTGAACATTTATCATAATACTAAAAGAGAGGGATTGGCAGCAGTGGGACACTGCCATGGGAAGGGGGGCACATAACATCAATATGGGTACCCACAATTTACCTGTACGAATACTATGTATGTACCTAACTCTGAATTGTACTTCACATTAAAAAAAAAAAAAAAAGGCTGGGAATGGTGGCCCTGTAATCCCAGCACTTTGAGAGGCCGAGGTGAGGGAATTGTCTGAGCCCACAGGTTCGAGAACAGCCTGCACAACTGGCGAGACCTCATCTCTACAACAAATAAAAAAAACTAGCCGGACACGGTAATGCGTGCCTGTAACTCCAGCTTTTTGAAAGGCTGAGGCAGAAGGATAGCCTGAACTCACTAGGTCAATGCTGGGGTGGCCGTGAGTGTGCCACTGCACTCTAGCCTGGGCAATGGAGTGAGGATACAACTCCAAAAAATTTAAAAAACAAATAAATACCTACGGGTTCCAGACCAGCCTAGGCAACTTGGTAAGACCTCATCTCTACAATAAATCAAAAAATGAGCTGGGTATGGTGGCGCATGCCTGTAGTTCCAGCTACCTGGAAGGCTGAGGCGAAAGGATCACCTGAACCCAGCAGGTTGAGGCTGTGGTTTCCAAGATCATGCCACTGTACTCCATCCTGGGCGACAGAGTGAGACTCTGACTCAAATAAATAAATAAATTTGGAGGTGACATGTACCTAATGAATGCATAATGAAAGCATACCTAGGTTCCTGTGGCTAATTAACTTATTTATAGCCCTAAAAGAAGAGGCTGGAAGACATACTAGTACTGTGTAATAGCTGCTGTTGGTCTTGTTTAACAAGGTATTAAAATATAGATACTCAGAGAAGGATTGCTGTTCAAGAGACTAGATATTCAAAACTTAAAACAATCCTTAGCCCATGTGCCCCACGGTCATGAAGCAAGTTAAAAAAACTGTTCAGCTATATCTCCAAAGTCAACTTCAGATGTGGTCAAGAATAATAAAAGTGGAAGGATCTCTCAAAGGGCAAAGCCAAGGATCATGGAGAACCATGCTCTAGGGCATGTGCAGGGTAAGAACCATTTGTCACAGGTCTATGACAATGAGATAGATAGAGAAATTGAGAGTAATTGTTTAGAAGTTTTTATAGCAATTTCACACAGGTTGTCTGTTGAATCTAACAATAGTTTTAAATTGGGCTTGTAATTTCATGTTTTTAATTTCACTTTTCCTATAATTCATTTTATTGTTTACCAAATATTCAAGTTAAAATTGTTTTCTTCAACTGGCCTGGAAAACACAGGAAACAGAACTAGTGCCCTAGCAACACCTGCCCAGAGAGATTTCAACTGTCTACAGTCTGGTATGTGTCTGCCATTCTTCCTCTTTCCTAATGGGAACACTTGTAGTCACCTGTCCCAACTCTATCCTAAGTATTCAACAGGGGGTGGGAGACAGATAACATGTCTAGACCAGAAGAAGTTACTGCTGGACTTGAAGCTCCACACAGCGACTGGATGGCATTTTTAATGTCCACTGGCTAGAGTCAAGGGTGACCCAGAGGAAGGAGAACACGTTGACAAGGGTGAACTGTTCAGAAGTTTGTAGTTTTCTACACAGGTGAAAATTATACTTCCCACTTCCTTGAATTAAGTATGGTCATGACTTGACTTGACCAATGAAACGTGCAAAGTGATATACGCAACTTCTGGAAGCTTTTAAGAGTTAGTATGCATGTGTCATGAATCATGACACACTTTCCATCCGATATGTTGGCTGATAACAGTCAGTCACAAGTCCCAAAAAGAAAACATGGGGCAAAGCTCCCGGCTGACATGGTGTAAACATAAAACAAGCATTGCTGCTTTAAACTCCTAAGATTTGGGAATTGTTAGTATAACCCAGTATAGCACTATTGGTAATAGACTGGTCATAGTAATGGGTAACAGGACAGTGGCCTGAACATAAAATGCATATCCTAGATTTTAAAGCAGGATATTTCAAAGAATTCACAGGAAGTTGACCCAAGTCCATGGTAGGAAGATTCTAAAGGGGAAGACAACTCTTCAAAATGCAACTGACCATTACCACAACAGGTGCCAATACCAAAAGAAAAGTCATAGACAAGTGTTTGCCATACCACATTGGCCAATACTACACACATACACCTCCCAACTATGTGTACACTTTTATGCCTGGAAGGGGCCCTCAATTCTTCAGTAGAATGTTCCTGTCAGCATGAATCTGAGTTGGCATATGGTAATTTTTGTCTCATCCCTAAACTCTAAATAAGTGTGCAAACAGAGGGCATTTAAATGATGGAAAGAATGAGTGACATGTAACTAGAACAAAATACAAGAAGGTAATAAGTGCTATAAGAATGAGTCAAGTCCGGCTCGGTGGCTCAGCCTGTAATCCCGCGCCTTTGGGAGGCTGAGGTGAGTGGATTGCCTGAGCCCATGGGTTTGAGACCCGCCTGGGCAACTTGGTGAGACCTCATCTCTACAATAAATCAAAAATGAGCCGGGCGTGGTGGTGCACGCCTGTAGTTCCAGCTACTTGGAAGGCTGAGGCGGAAGGATCGCCGGAGCCCAGCAGGTCCAGGCTGCAGTGGCCGGGAGTGGCCACTGCACTCCAGTCTGGGTGACAGAGTAAGACTCCAACTCAAAAAAAAAAAGAATGAGTCAGTGAGGCTGTAGAACAAAAAAAGTAACAAAACTTGCAAATAAAATGCTAAAGGCAGCAAGTGTGTTTTGTTGAGCACCAGAATACTAAGAAAGCTCCTAAAGGGCGTCAAGGAGGAAGTACTTCAAGAGAAAAGTTAAAAAAAAAAAAAAAAAAAGAGAGAGAAGAGCACTGTTTCCTGTTAGATGGATGAGGATTTGCCTTTATTTTCTTTATGCAGTTACCACAGTAGGTAGGCCATTGGCTAAAGTAATTTCATGTTGGTATTGGGTACTGTATACAATAATACTTGACAAATAGTTCTTTGGCTTTTAAATGTTTGAAAAGACTACTGTGCTGGAGTAATCTGCACTCAAAACTACAATATTCAATCTCTGTGCATTTGGAAACATTTAAATTTTATAATGTCTAGTAGCAAGCTTTTCCCTTCCTTGGTTAGTTTCCCCTTAATAGGCCTAAAATTCCTTTATGGCTAACTATAAAATTAATGGCTTTCCCCCCTCAGGAAAAAGAGGAAATTAACAACTATAACCATTAAATAAATTGTATCAGGATCTGTGGGCACCACTTTCTGGAAAACAATACATTTCATATTTTGCAATAAATGGGGCATATAATGCTTACAAAGTTCCCTAAGCACATTCTGTCTAAAGTTAGCTTACTTACAGTTGAATGTTGCTACTGGAGAACATCACCTGCTCATCGAACCGGCCTCAAGTAAAGTGTTGGTTAGACTTCAACGCAGTTAATCATTTAAGACCCAAAGGAGGCTCTCCATTTTAGAGCCCCTTCAAAGAAGTTGGGAGAAAAATCATCTATTCACATACCCCAAATTCATTCCCCCATAAGGGAAGGAGAAAGAGAAGTCTAACTAGACTTGCTCTGACGGATACATAGGGGGGAAAAGTCTCACAAGCACAGACCTAAAATTTGTGTGAGTACTACCCAGATGTTGATTATCATCTTGAGTGGAAAGTATAGAAGAAAAAGAGAAACCCCTTCACGATAAAAGCCTATTCATGACTTGAAAGTTGCACCTTTCGGATTATGGGAAGACGCCAATAGGCCATACCAGAGACTATGTGGTACCTGTGGTTTTGACAGGTACCTAAAATCACTTAACTCTGACTTCATGCTTAATTTAAGTGCTTAAGCACACATGAACAGCTCTCTCCCATTTGAAGAGAATCATGAAACAACATCCTAACCACGTTCTGCAAGAATCCATGAAGTGAAGTTCTGAAGTTCCAAGAAACGCAGGATCCTTCCCCAAAGTGCAGATGTTGCATGAGGTCTGCTGACCTCCCACAGCAAGCTGAACTCTCCTGTACTCGGCTGGGCTCGACCTGCTCGGCGGAACGCTTCCTCTGAGGGATGCTCACAGAGCACCGCCAGGCCTGCGAATGCCAGGGTTCCTGCACACACCCGCCAAGAGCTCACACTACGCCGGCATCTGGCACCTGGGCCAACCCCGCCCCAGGACCCAGAGTACAAAAGAGACTCCGACGGTCCCTAGGGCACACTTCGCTAGGAGAAAAGGGAACCATGCTCCGGGCAAAGCTCAGGACACTGGACAGCAAGGTGGCGAAGTGGGAAAGGCCCGGTCTTGACTGCTCCAGGGCCTGCAGCAGTGTCTTTCACTGGGATACTCTTTCACTAGGATAGGGATTGCAATGCGCAGGCATTCTAAAGGGAATACAAATAGTTTACTCTCACTCTTGGGCTACTTTGTTCATCTTAGTACCTAATGCAGCACCTGCCATGTACCGGCCTATACTCCGGGAGATCTGCTTCTTCCCGGTAACTGACAGCAGCCAGAGCACCACACAGGCAACACCCGCCACATGCTGGCCTACACAGTCGGGAGATCAGTTTCTTCCTGGAAACTGACAGCAGCCAGAGCCCCCATTTTCCCTCCCCCCCCCCGGAAGGGCGCCCTCTCCAGGGCCGAGACTCCACTGCAGGCGCCCAGACACGCCAGACCCTCGTCTAAGACCGGCAGCGCGGTTTAGGCCTCGTTCCCCCAAGCTTAGCCCGGAGCATTTTCCCGATTCCAGGTGTCAAAGATCCATCTGCCGCACTCCAGACCGCGTCAACAGCCGTCCGACGCCCACCCCGCTCTTCGCCCAGGGCTCGCCCTGCAGAGGGAAGGGCCTTTCCCGCGCGCGCCGGCGCTCACCCGGTCGCCGCGTTCCACCCTCTCGCGGCGGAAAAGGGAGACGCACACGCCCTCGAGAGGGTCCAGGTGAGACGCCCGGTGTCCCCGCGGCGGGCGTCTTAGACCGGACTCCGAAGCACGACGGCGCGGGCCTTGCCTGAGGAGAGTCGGTTCGTCAGAACC